ATGGTTCTTGAAGAAACACAAATTTTTGAAAATAATGATGTTGACAACTGAACTTTGATCTAACAAAAACAATTCGCTAACTCTACCTCAGGCAGGTGTGAGTTCGGTCACTACTCCCAACTCGGACTCGCCCGCCGTTATTTCAGAAAAACATCATAATTACTTCTTGTCACATCACCCTATCAATCATATACACTTGCGACAAGTGACGTCATCACTGCCCATAACCGCCAATCCGAAGACCTAATCATCAAGCCTCTTGCAGGTCATCATTACCTGAGAAATACATTGACACATGGCCATCAACCTCATCGACCAATCACAAGAGAATTCGACGACCCGAGTTCCGAGCTGGGTGTTGTAGCTGATTTGACTGATTTGATATAATTTTTGCTGAAACTATGTATAAATAGTTGAGTAGAACTCTTGTAAAAAAAAAAAAAAAAAAGGCAAATTCATGTGAAAACTTATGGTATTTTGTGGTCTTTTTCAACAATAAGTTCCCCTTTTTCTTAAAGTTGGCTTAAAATTAACCTTACTAAATTTGACGTCAACAAATGAGATTTCAATAAATTATATGTTATCTCATAAATTATGGAAATGAAATTTTGTTGTTATAGACAATATTTTCACCTTTAAAGTAACTCTTGATATTATGCAAAAATAAGGATCCTGAACTGTAATCCGTTAAAGACTGTCAATATAGAAATGATTTGTCAAAATGGAAATAAACTATATAGGCGGAATTAAATTTTTGAGAGAAAAGGAAAGTGTTTGGACCCCTAGTTCAAACATCTGAAAATGTAATCCTTATTGGATACAAATGAGTTTTTGTATGAAAGAAAAATGAAAATATTGAAATTACAATATACAAAACCCGACTCGTAACTTAAGGTTTTTCACGAAGACCAGGAATTGATTATGAAAAATATATTCTCCTGTAATAAACACTATCACTTTTACATTCTTAATTAGTTTGATTGTTTACAAAAGCTCGATATACGCTCTATGAATGTAATAACTGCCTATTTGTATGATTCACTTGATATTGATATATATATGAAAATCCTCAATGACTTAAAAGTGTCATAAACAAATGATACATACTTGAGAACTTTGCTTTCAATTAAATTGCAAAACTCATTATATGGATTGAAACAATCCAAACGCAAATGGTATAGTCGCCTTAACTAATAATTGTTGAAGGAGGGTTACGAAAATAACGATGTCTGCCTATGTGTTTTCATAAAAAAAAAAAAAATAAGTATTGGATTTGCAATTGTGGTAATTTATTTTGATAATTTAAATTTAATTGAAATTTCTGAAGAGCTCAATGAAATTGCAGATTATTTGAAAAATGAATTTGAGATGAAAGATTTGGGAAAAATTAAATTGTCTTAGGTTGCAAATTGGAGACTTCCTAGAAGGATTATTTTTTCATCAATCTACATATACAAAAAAGTTTTAAAACATTTTTATATGCATAATGTACATTCATTAGCATCACCTATGGTTGTTCGATAGCTTGATGTAAAAATGATCCCTTCGTTCACTTGAAGATTGGAAAAATGTTCTTAATTCTGAAGTACTATATCTTAGTGCAATTGGAGCATTAACTTATCTTGCAAACTGCACTCGACTAGATATAGATTTTTCTGTAAATCTCCTTATAAGAGATAGCTCTACACCAACTCAAAAATATTGGAATTATGTTAAACATATTTTTCGTTACCTACCTATTCATTTGGTGATTGAACAGTAGTGGCTAGAAATTAACTAATACCACATGTTTGTTTCCATTTTTGTGGAGTTACTGATTTTACTTTTTCCCCCTTTTCGTTAATTTGAAGGACAGTTTTTTGTCTAGCAAAATACTTGATGATAATTAAACCCCAGTCAACACTCGTGGGAATTATAAAGTAGAACAATAAAGTTAATGACAACAAGAATTGATTATTAATAATTCGCAATTTATTAGAGAATCTTGGTATTAGTTTATGTTTTGTTTGGATGTTAATTAAAATAGTAAATAAGTTGTCTTATGGGAATAAGTTTCACTCTTGATCAGGGGTGGACCCAGAGCTTTTGTAATGTGGAGTCAAATGGATTTTGCTAATTTTATAGTTTTGTTTATCATCTCGTTGACAAATGTTGAGTCGGCGACGAGTAAATCGAGTTGAATGTACGAAATAAATGAATTGAAATAAAATTAAAATTCAATGTAGAAAGTAAATGAAATTCAAATTTTATTCAAAAGTAATTCATTACATTTAATCTATAACGATCCTAAAATTTTTTACGTCATACTTCATGTAAAATTTGTCAATAAAACGATGTCAATCATATTAAGAAATTTATTGTGCAAAAATAATACACGTTAAGGAAATAATTAAAAAAATTTAAAGGAAAGAAGAGTTAGACGTCTGTTTTAAAGACCTATGTTAGACACGCGTTTAACTATTTTCGATATCAATTTAGACTATTTGATATGACTACAATTTAGTTCTCAAAACGAGTTTCTAAGTGATGTAGGCAATTTGTGGATTCAGCTAGAGTGCGATCATCGGCAAATTTTTAAAGTTAGCATATTATCGAAATTTTAAAAATATTAGTTTGAAATGACCTAGCTTGATGAGCTGTAATTTTTACTGCAGTTGATCGTGTCACGCGCCATTAATTAGAGGAAAATTAAGCTGTGAATACTTCGAAATGATATTAATAATACAATATTTCGACTTCATTTGATATCCCATAACGCGCACATTAAAGTAAGCCGTGAAAGAAATGATTACAAAATTAAAATAATAATAAAATAAAAAATAAGAGGTGGAATCATTTGACCCCATATGACCGCATGTGGTTCTGCCCATGCTCTTCATAACTTTTATAACTAATTAATGAAGAGGTTGGAGGCATAAGATATTGTTTAATTTCGGAGTCACAACTCGCGAAGGTATAGTTAGGTCACTTATTTTGTTTTTGAACTTGTGCTTGTTGGCAACTATTTTACGTCGGGTTTGATGCAGGTTTCTTGCATTAAAGGGAAATTCAGAATTGGCGTATTATTAGTTAGAAGTTATACTTAAATTAGAATTGAAACAACATCAAGGCGTTTGTAGTCCAACGGTTAGGATAATTGCCTTCCAAGCAATAGACCCGGGTTCGACTCCCGGCAAACGCAATGTTATTTTTTACTTGTCCTTGACTGAGGTGCCAACTGCGCATGAACGAAGTCATCTAAGTACAAATTTGCACATGTATCAAATTGGACTTTCAGTGCCACTTTGATATAAATTTTTAGAAAATAAAATTGATAAAAAAAATTATGAGATGTGTGACTAAAATGTGATTAAAGTTGGTGAAATGAAACATGTTATTAAAAATTAAGTTTGACTAATTTTTTAGCGAAAAATAGCTATATTAAACAAGTCCTTAATGTCTTGTGCAACCAGTGAAAAAATGCTTTTGAATCATCACAATTTTGAAACCTATATTCTTCTAGCACGTGTTATTTTCAATTTCGATGAAAACATATTTTAGAGTTGTGACAAGTAATCTAACTTAATACTCTTATGCCAATGTGGCAGGCAACTTGGCTGTCGACTAAATAAAATATCACGTAAGCACATTCGCCTCATTAACACCACATCCCATATTTGAAGTGAATCTAGCACGTCTTCTTGTTGATTTTGCTATTTGAAGGTAGAAGATAAACATTGAAATAATAAATCACTTATGGGTGTATCGTACCATATTTCACGTTATATATATATATATATATGTAAGAGTAGTCAGTGTGGGGTGTTGGTGATTCGGTGTCGATATAAATGCAATATCAAGAGCTCTCTAATGATCTTGGGACTGGAGATCGACTTGACGAGCCCTGTATATATTTTTTTGTGTCGAATAGATATATTGTTTGAAGTATCAATGATCTTTAAGAGTAACTGATGATACGGTATTTGGAATTGATATTGACATATAAGACGTGTTGGGAGATCTCTTGGTGGTATTGAGATTGTAGATCTGTAAGACGAGCATCGTATACATAGATCAGGTCAGTCCTAATTTATATATATATTCTAGCCCTTGTTTGAGCCACATTCTTTAGAAAAAAATTCATTCTTAAGCAGTGATTTGACATCATTTCAATCACACATTTTTCAATAAAAAATTATTACACGCATGTTATTGGCCTATTAATATTGTATAGGAACTTGAGAGGAGATCATATTGTGAGAAGGGTGTATATGCTCATGCATATTGTTACTTGTCGAGCATTTCAGTTTTGTGGTGTTGGTGTGACAAAGCATGTATTGAAGGTATTGGGTACTTGACCCGTGCAACGGATCCACGCAGACGAGACGTGACTTGGGTTCCGATCTGAATCGGCTTCAGTGGGTCTCGCCGTCTCTGTTCTTCCTCCCTCCCTCTTCGTTCTACAAGAATATAATAAAACTAGTGAGTAAAGTTTAAAATATTATTTGTTCACTAAAAATAATCTAATTTTTTCTGTTCAGTGCAATTTCATTTTCTCCGTACTTGATGATCCTATCCCGTGATATCATAATTTTGATAATACTGATCAAAATCTCACTTGAAATTATTAATTTCTCTTGGATTTTGATCTGTGTTTAAAATATTGCATATATAGGAGTATAAGTGAGACAGGCATTTCCTCTAAAATTTGCACATTGATAATGAAAACTTAAATTTTTGTTGAACACAACAAAATTAAATGAGAGTTGCAGCTGGATTAATGCATCTGCTAGAAACTTGATTGATTATTATGGTCTCCACTGGTATACTGTTAGAACAGTCATTTATTATTCTCTCGTTTTGTGTTTGGTAAATGGTACTAAATGGTACGAGAAAGAAAAAGAAAGTTAAAATCTTATTTCTAGTTAAAAATGTTTTACAGTTTCTAAGTACATCGGCAAAAGCCATAAGAACCCAAGGAACGTTCTCGACCATGACATGGTCATTTCATCACATCAATACGAAAAAAATGAACTTTATTCATAAATTTAGAATCGACTACATGAATTCATGGTTTATCAATATAGAAGGAGTTTCAGAGAAAAAAGGGATGTTTCTTAGCTGCAGCTTCACACAATCTTCTTCACTTGCTGATCTTGGATCGAAGGGCTCACGATCAGCAAGCACTAAACCTTGTTTGATACGTCCCATTCTCCGTGAAAACAAAACCTGTTCTGCATTGACTGGGAGTCGAATAGACTGATATTCTTCAAGAGCCGAATTTAGATTCTCCAATCCCCATTTCTCAAGGCATTTGCCCAAGACTGCAGCATCTAGTATCGACATGTTTGTGCTTCTCGCGCCATGAGGACTTACCGGGTGAGCTGCATCTCCGATCAAAACCACGTTATCCCAAACTACTCGTTCTAGTGGCTCACTATCGTATATTGCATTCAGGAAAGGCTCGTTAGTTTCTCGCATTAGTTTCACAAATTCTGGAACCCAAACCTTCTCTGCCGCTTCATACATGTCTTCAATCATGTCTCTGCTGACTTTAGTTGTAACTGAATTTCCCTTATATAAAAGAAGATTGCTCGTTATAACGATGTTCATGTCTTAATGTCATAGCAAAAAATCATGGTATAATACAAAACAAGGATAAGAGCAAGAACATACCTCAAGATCTGGCTCTGGTTGATTAACATACCAAATCCAGTTCATCCTTTTGTTAAATAACTCGTAAAGGATACTGTGAGTTCCAACTCCTAGGATAAAGTAATTGCACTTGCCAAGCTCGGGAAATGCCTTCTTGAGTTGCAGAATGGTTTCTGAGTTCTCATTTTCTGAAAAATCGAGGACCCCTCTCCAAGCACAGTAACCCGAATATCTAACCATAAACAATGTCATTCCAAGAAACAAAGTGTCATAGTTCTTGAATTCTCATTGCAGAACAAGAGAAAAAGGTGAGTATCATATCTGTTTTATTCACAAACCTGAGTTTAAGGTCGGGGAGTAAAGTTTTACGAATGGAAGATAGACAACCATCCGCGGCAACAAGCAAATCACCTTCTATATCAATTGTATCACCAGATCGAATCACTTCAGCGCTAACTTTCACAGATTTTGCATCAGAGACGCTAAAGGAGAGGAAAAAATGCCCCCATAAAACAACTCCCTGAGGCAGTGCATTGTATAATAGGCTATGAAGATCAGCCCAATGTGCTGCTCTGAAATTGAAGTTTTCATCTCTCGTCAGTGTCCAGGTAATTTTCTTGTCCCAGTCTGTTGCTTGTTCCTAAGATTACACAAGGATTTACAAAGTGGAAAGCCAGATAATTCCAATGTTATTTTGAAGGGAATGAAGTTCTAAGTTGTTAAAATTGCACATATATCAGACGGCATTAGGAAGGAAACAACAAAAACCAAGGTACTTGCCTCATTATTTAATCCTCCATAGAAGATCAATGACAAAAAAAAAGAAATGAAACATGTTGATTGCCCTCTACTTAATGTGAAATTACCTCCACTTACTATTGCAGGTTCTCACCATAATGAACTGAAGAAGAAGATTGCAGGGTTTTTCTTATACCTCTCACCTCTGTTTCACGGACACTTTAACTAGGGTAACGAATTCGTGTTTAACACATGTTGGATGCCAACATTGTCTAGACACTCTATCACGATAATTATTTTTCTTTATTAGAATTAATCTATATTTTTAATTCAAAGTTATTATTAAATAACCAATACGTACTCATATTTAAAAAATTTCAAAGAGAAAAATAAATAACAAGTATAAAATTAAAATTTATGTTATATAAATGAAGAATTTTAAAAAATTTAATCAACGTATCGACCATGTATTGTATCAAACACAGGTGTCCATAGCGATGCGTCTTAGCCTAATGAGAAAATTGAGGCCGAGAGGTCTATACAGCACCAAGACCTTGTCACTAGTTAGACTCGAACCAAACACTCCATCTATTTTTGTTTACTAAAAGCCAATCAAGCTTTCTCCCTACTAAACTCTCTTTTCCAGCATTCCCGCCTTCATTTTCAGCCTATTAATCCCGAAAAGGTTGCATCAATCTCCAGAATCATTGTTCCGTTCATCAGTGATGACTTAAAGAACAAACTTATACGTTAATTCGGGAATAAAAATCAGAGCAAAAGGACAAGATGAATGTTTAAATACTTCTATGAAAATGAATTGATAAAGCTTAAATGAACTGTGATACATATGTTTTTTTGCCTGAATATTTTTTACGCACATGATCAATGGTGAGAGGCAAGGTGCTGAATTCAAGAGCCTGCGGTTGATTCAGCCACGACCGGATGAGTTTCTGGGACAAAGGGTCAATTCCAAGACCAGCACCGGTGGCACTACTGGTGGGGGGTGAAGGTGTTTTCTCGAGCACCACCACATCCCACCCAGCGGCGATAAGAGCGTGTGCGCAGGATATCCCGGCTATGCTGCCTCCCACCACCACTGCCTTGGCCTTCCTCTTTGCTTCATCCATCTCACTCTGTCACTGTGTGCGCGTGCGCGTCTTCCAGAGAGAGAGAGAGAGAGAGAATCTTGATTCTGAGAAAATGGTGGGTGGGGTGACAACAAAAATTATCATATGAAGGTATCAAGACTTTACGAGTCACGACAGGAATATCATGCTAATACTTACGTGTTAAAGTTTGTCCCATGTCAATTATAATAATATATGAGAAGATTTAACTTTAAAGGACCCAATTAGAATGAGAAAATGAAAGTTAATTTTTATGAAAATTATTTTATAAATGTACATGCACTTAGCTGTAATTATATCTTTAAACGACCAGATTGAACAGCACTAGTTACAATTTGTACATCCTATTACACATGTACAGAAGCTTAATATCTGTGGGAGTAATTCAATGCTCCAATCGTGTAGCACAATTAATTGATTTAGCTCCACCGTCTCCGAGCTGGTGATCCATTCAGTAAGCCACACCACCAGAAAAACTATCTCCGTCGTGAAGGAGAGATTCTGTAAGCCAATAACCATCCCAAGAACCCCCAACTCTCTGAAAATCAGAAGCCACTAGTGAATTACATTATCAAGAAGTGCAAAGAACAGGGACTTGTACCTTCCATATAAGAAAAGATATTTGCAGATTACCAAATAATATAAAATTATATATTGACAATGCGTTCTATTCTAGCAAATCCACTGCAATAGATATATTTACATAACTTCTTTTATATTTGGTCAGAAGAAGATAAAAGAAAAATTTCATGCACTTTCATCTGTCATGTATTATATATTTATAAAAATAGTTGAATCAAATATTGTCAAGAAGCAGAAGTTCGTTGACCTAAAAAATTTATACTTTGGCATGATCCACTTAGACATTCAGGAACTATAATGATGCACCGAATAATAAACAACTCATATGGATATCCTGTAAAGAACCAGAATATTCTTTTTCCTAATAATTATCTATGTGTAGTTTGTTAGTTTGGTAAGTTAGTTATTAGACTTTCGACTATAAATGTCAATATTGAATTCGTTGAGATATATGTGGGCAATACACCCACAATGTGGACTATTTCATTATTTTAGTGTTAATTGATTCTTTTACTAGATGATCACATGTTTGCATACTTTGCAATAGAAATGTAGCCTTCGTTAAACTACTTGTTCAAATCATAAAACTACGAGCTCAATTACTTGATTGCTCAATCAAGACTATATATCTTGATAATGCTAGTGAATTTAGATCATACGCATTTGATGATTATCGCATGTCAATTGGAATTGTTTTAAACATTCAATTTCGCATGTTCATATACAAAATGATTTAGCAGAGTAGTTTATTAAACGTCTATAACATATTGCTAGACTATTACTTATGAAAACAAAACTCCTAACTTCTCTTTGGGGGTATGTCATATTACATATTGCATCATTACTTCGTATTAGACCAATTACTTATTATCAATATTTACATTTGTAACTGGCATTTGGTCATGAACCAAATATTTCTTATCTACGGGCCAAGTCCTATTTCGCTCCCTACAACGTACTAAAATAGGCCCCTAATGGAGACTTATGATTTTATGTGGGTTTTGGTTAACCATATATTATTAGGTATTTTGAACCTTTAAAGGGTGACTTATTTATAGCACATTTTGAAGATTGTCATTTTCATGAAATGATTCCTAACTTTGGAAGGAGGAAAACTACATTCTAAAAAATAAGGTAAAATTTTTTGGAATGAAACAACTCTATCTCACTTTAATCCTGCAACAATCAATGAGAACAAGATATTGAAAAACATCATTCATTTGTAAAGAGTTGTAAATCGATTACCTGATATATTTGTTGATACAAGAAAAATGACGAAATCATATATTTCAGTAGAAAATATTTCAACAAAAATTGATGTCCCTAAAAGATAATCTGCTATAGCAAAAAAATTTCAAATACGCTAGAAGCGTGATCGATCAATTGGTTCAAAAAATTCTGTACCTCAAAAAAGAAAAATACAAGAAAAATCCAACAAAAATTTTTGGATGAAGCAACATTAAAAAATATTGATTAATCAAATATTGAAAATATGGTTCTTGAAGAAACACAAATTTTTGAAAATAATGATGTTGACAATCGAACTCCGATCTAACAAAAACAATTCGCTAACTCCACCTCAGGCAGGTGTGAGTTCGGTCACTGCTCCCAACTCGGACTCGCCCGTCGTTATCTCAGAAAAACATCATGATTACTTCCTATCACATCACCCTGTCAATCATATACACTTGCGACAAGTGACGTCATCACCGCCCATAACCACCAATCCGAAGACCTGATCCTCAAATCTCTTGTAGGTCATCATTACCTGAGAAAAACATTGACACATGGCCATCGACCTCGTCGACCAATCACAAGAGAATTCGATGACCCGAGTTTCTAGCTGGGTGCTGTAGCTGATTTGACCGATTTGATGTAATTTCGGCTGAAATTATGTATAAATAGTTGAGTATAACTCTTGTAAAAAAAAAAAAAAAAAGCACATTCATGTAAAAGCTTATGGTATTTTGTGGTCTTTTTCAACAATAAATTCCCCCTTTTCTTAAAGTTGGTTTAAAATTAGCCTTGCTAATTTTGACGTCAACAAATGAGATTTCAATAAATTATATGTTATCTCATAAATTATAGGAATGAAATTTTGTTGTCATAGACAATATTTTTACCTTTAAATTAACTCTTGATATTATGCAAAAATAAAGATCCTGAACTGTAATCCGAAAAAAAAAAAAAAAAGCACATTCATGTAAAAGCTTATGGTATTTTGTGGTCTTTTTCAACAATAAATTCCCCCTTTTCTTAAAGTTGGTTTAAAATTAGCCTTGCTAATTTTGACGTCAACAAATGAGATTTCAATAAATTATATGTTATCTCATAAATTATAGGAATGAAATTTTGTTGTCATAGACAATATTTTTACCTTTAAATTAACTCTTGATATTATGCAAAAATAAAGATCCTGAACTGTAATCCGTTAAAGACTGTCAATATAGAAATGATTTGTCAAAATGGAAAGAAACTATACTGGCGGAATTAAATTTTTGAGAGAAAAGGAAAGTGTTTGGACCCCTAGTTCAAACATTTGAAAATGTAATCCTTATTGAATACAAATGAGTTTTTGTATGAAAGAAAAATGAAAATATTGAAATTACAATATACAAAACCCGACTCGTAACTTAAGGTTTTTCACGAAGACCAGGAATTGATTATAAAAAATATATTCTCCTATAATAAACATTATCACTTTTACATTTTTAGTTAGTTTGATTGTTTACAAAAGCTCAATATGTGCTCTATGAATGTAATAACTGCCTATTTGTATGGTTCATTTGATATTGACATATATATGAAAATCCTCGATGACTTAAAGTGTCATAAAAAAATGATACATACTTGAGAACCTTGCTCTCAATTAAATTGCAAAGCTCATTATATGGATTGAAACAATCTAAACGCATGTGGTATAGTCGCCTTAACTAATAATTGTTGAAGGAGGGTTACGGAAATAACGATATCTGCCTATGTATTTTCATAAAGAAAAGAAGTATTGGATTTGCAATTGTGGTAATTTATTTTGATAATTTAAATTTAATTGAAATTTCTGAAGAGTTCAATGAAATTGCAGATTATTTGAAAAATGAATTTGAGATGAAAGATTTGGGAAAAATTAAATTTTGTCTTAGGTTGCAGATTGGACACTTTCTAGAAGGATTATTTGTTCATCAATCTACATATACAAAAAAGTTTTAAAACATTTTTATATGCATAATGTACATCCATTAGCATTAACTATGGTTGTTCGATAGCTTGATGTACAAATGATCCCTTCGTCCACTTGAAGATTGGAAAAATGTTCTTAATTCTGAAGTACTATATTTTAGTACAATTGGAGCATTAACTTATCTTACAAACTGCACTCGACTAGATATAGGTTTTTTTGTAAATCTCCTTATAAGAGATAGCTCTACACCAACTCAAAAACATTGGTGTTAAACATATTTTTCGTTACCTACCTATTCATTTGGTGATTGAACAGTAGTGGCTAGAAATTAACAGATACCACATGTTTGTTTCCATTTTTGTGGAGTTACTGATTTTACTTTTTTCCCTTTTTCGTTAATTTGAAAGACAGTTTTTGTCTAGCAAAATACTTGATGATAATTAAACCCGAGTCAACACTCGTGGGAATTATAAAGTAGAACAAGAAAGTTAATGACAACAAGAATTGATTATTAATAATTAGCAATTTATTAGAGAATCTTGGTATTAGTTTATGTTTTGTTTGGATGTTAATTAAAATATTAAATAAGTTGTCTTATGGGAATAAGTTTCACTCTTCATCAGGGGCGGACCCAGAGCTTTTGTAATGTGGAGTCAAATGGATTTTGCTAATTGTATAGTTTTGTTTATCATCTCGTTGACAAATGTTGAGTCGACGACGAGTAAATCGAGTTGAATGTACGAAATAAATGAATTGAAATAAAATTAAAATTCAATGTAGAAAGTAAATGAAATTCAAATTTAATTCAAAAGTAATTCATTACATTTAATCTATAACTATCCTAAAATTTTTTACATCATACTTCATGTAAAATTTGTCAATAAAACGATGTAAATCATATTAAAAAATTTATTGTGCAAAACTAATACACGTTAACGAAATAATTAAAAAAATTTAAAGAAAAGAAGAGTTAGACGTCTGTTTTAAAGACCTATGTTAGACATACGTTTAACTATTTTCGATATCCGTTTGGACTATTTGATATGACTACAATGTAGTTCTCAAAACGAGTTTTTAAATGACGTAGGCAATTTGTGGATTCAGCTAGAGTGCGATCATCGGCAAATTTTTAAAGTTAGCATATTATAGAAATTCTAAAAATATTAGTTTGAAATGGCCTAGTTTGATGCGCTGTAATTTTTATTGCAGTTGATCGTGTCACGTGCCATTAATTAGAGGAAAATTAAGCTGTGAATACTTCGAAATGATATTAATAATACAATATTTCAACTTCGTTTGATATCCTATAACGCGCACATTAAAGTAAGCCGTGAAAGAAACGATTACAAAATTAAAATAATAATAATAATAATAATAAAATAAAAAATAAGAGGTGGAATCATTTGATCCCACATGGCCCCATGTGGTTCTGCCCATGCTCTTCATAACTTTTATAACTAATTAATGAAGAGGTTGGAGGCATAAGATATTGTTAAATTTCGGAGTCACAACTCGCGAAGGTATAGTTAGGTCACTTATTTTGTTTTTGAACTCGTGCTTGTTGGCAACTATTTTACGTCGGGTTTGATGCAGGTTTCTTGCATTGAAGGGAAATTCAGAATTGGCGTATTATTAGTTAGAAGTTATATTTGGATTAGAATTGAAACAACATCAAGGCGTTTGTAGTCCAACGGTTAGGATAATTGCCTTCCAAGCAATAGACCCGGGTTCGACTCCCGGCAAACGCAATGTTATTTTTTACTTGTCCTTGACTGAGGTGCCAACTGCGCATGAACGAAGTCATCTAAGTACAAATTTGCACATGTATCAAATTGGACTTTCAGTGCCACTTTGATATAAATTTTTAGAAAATAAAATTGATAGAAAAAATTTATGAGATGTGTGACTAAAATGTATATATATATATATATATATATATATATATATATATATATAGTTAAGAGTAGTCAGTGTGGAGTGTTGGTGATTCGCTGTCGATATAAATGCAATATCAAGAGCTCTCTAATGATTTTGGGACTGGAGATCGGCTTGACGAGCCCTGTATATATTTTTTCGTGTCGAATAGATATATTGCTTGAAGTATTAGTGAACTTTAAGGGTAACCGATGATACGATATTTGAAATTGATATCGATATACAAGACGTGTTAGGAGATCTCTTGGTGGTATTGAGATTGCAGATCTGTAAGACGAGCATCGTATACATAAATCAGGTCTGTCCTAATTCATATATATATTCTAGCCCTTGTTTGAGCCACATTCTTTAGAAAAAAATTCATTCTTAAGCAGTGATTTGACATCATTTCAATCACACATTTTTCAATAAAAAATTATTACACGCATGTTATTGGCCTATTAATATTGTATAGGAACTTGAGAGGAGATCATATTGTGAGAAGGGTGTATATGCTCATGCATATTGTTACTTGTCGAGCATTTCAGTTTTGTGGTGTTGGTGTGACAAAGCATGTATTGAAGGTATTGGGTACTTGACCCGTGCAACGGATCCACGCAGACGAGACGTGACTTGGGTTCCGATCTGAATCGGCTTCAGTGGGTCTCGCCGTCTCTGTTCTTCCTCCCTCCCTCTTCGTTCTACAAGAATATAATAAAACTAGTGAGTAAAGTTTAAAATATTATTTGTTCACTAAAAATAATCTAATTTTTTCTGTTCAGTGCAATTTCATTTTCTCCGTACTTGATGATCCTATCCCGTGATATCATAATTTTGATAATACTGATCAAAATCTCACTTGAAATTATTAATTTCTCTTGGATTTTGATCTGTGTTTAAAATATTGCATATATAGGAGTATAAGTGAGACAGGCATTTCCTCTAAAATTTGCACATTGATAATGAAAACTTAAATTTTTGTTGAACACAACAAAATTAAATGAGAGTTGCAGCTGGATTAATGCATCTGCTAGAAACTTGATTGATTATTATGGTCTCCACTGGTATACTGTTAGAACAGTCATTTATTATTCTCTCGTTTTGTGTTTGGTAAATGGTACTAAATGGTACGAGAAAGAAAAAGAAAGTTAAAATCTTATTTCTAGTTAAAAATGTTTTACAGTTTCTAAGTACATCGGCAAAAGCCATAAGAACCCAAGGAACGTTCTCGACCATGACATGCTCATTTCATCACATCAATACGAAAAAAATGAACTTTATTCATAAATTTAGAATCGACTACATGAATTCATGGTTTATCAATATAGAAGGAGTTTCAGAGAAAAAAGGGATGTTTCTTAGCTGCAGCTTCACACAATCTTCTTCACTTGCTGATCTTGGATCGAAGGGCTCACGATCAGCAAGCACTAAACCTTGTTTGATACGTCCCATTCTCCGTGAAAACAAAACCTGTTCTGCATTGACTGGGAGTCGAATAGACTGATATTCTTCAAGAGCCGAATTTAGATTCTCCAATCCCCATTTCTCAAGGCATTTGCCCAAGACTGCAGCATCTAGTATCGACATGTTTGTGCTTCTCGCGCCATGAGGACTTACCGGGTGAGCTGCATCTCCGATCAAAACCACGTTATCCCAAACTACTCGTTCTAGTGGCTCACTATCGTATATTGCATTCAGGAAAGGCTCGTTAGTTTCTCGCATTAGTTTCACAAATTCTGGAACCCAAACCTTCTCTGCCGCTTCATACATGTCTTCAATCATGTCTCTGCTGACTTTAGTTGTAACTGAATTTCCCTTATATAAAAGAAGATTGCTCGTTATAGCGATGTTCATGTCTTAATGTCATAGCAAAAAATCATGGTATAATACAAAACAAGGATAAGAGCAAGAACATACCTCAAGATCTGGCTCTGGTTGATTAACATACCAAATCCAGTTCATCCTTTTGTTAAATAACTCGTAAAGGATACTGTGAGTTCCAACTCCTAGGATAAAGTAATTGCACTTGCCAAGCTCGGGAAATGCCTTCTTGAGTTGCAGAATGGTTTCTGAGTTCTCATTTCCTGAAAAATCGAGGACCCCTCTCCAAGCACAGTAACCCGAATATCTAACCATAAACAATGTCATTCCAAGAAACAAAGTGTCATAGTTCTTGAATTCTCATTGCAGAACAAGAGAAAAAGGTGAGTATCGTATCTGTTTTATTCACAAACCTGAGTTTAAGGTCGGGGAGTAAAGTTTTACGAATGGAAGATAGACAACCATCCGCGGCAACAAGCAAATCACCTTCTATATAAATTGTATCACCAGATTGAATCACTTCAGCGCTAACTTTCACAGATTTTGCATCAGAGACGCTAAAGGAGAGGAAAAAATGCCCCCATAAAACAACTCCCTGAGGCAGTGCATTGTATAATAGGCTATGAAGATCAGCCCAATGTGCTGCTCTGAAATTGAAGTTTTCATCTCTCGTCAGTGTCCAGGTAATTTTCTTGTCCCAGTCTGTTGCTTGTTCCTAAGATTACACAAGGATTTACAAAGTGGAAAGCCAGATAATTCCAATGTTATTTTGAAGGGAATGAAGTTCTAAGTTGTTAAAATTGCACATATATCAGATGGTATCGTATCAAACATAAGTGTCCATAGCGGTGCGTCTTAGCCTAACGAGAAAATAGATGCCGAGAGGTCTATACAGCACCAAGACCTTGTCACTAGTTAGACTCGAACCAAACACTCCATCTATTTTTGTTTACTAAAAGCCAATCAAGCTTTCTCCCTACTAAACTCTCTTTCCAGCATTCCCGCCTTCATTTTCAGCCTATTAATCCCGAAAAGGTTGCATCAATCTCCAGAATCATTGTTCCGTTCATCAGTGATGACTTAAAGAACAAACTTATACGTTAATTCGGGAATAAAAATCAGAGCAAAAGGACAAGATGAATGTTTAAATACTTCTATGAAAATGAATTGATAAAGCTTAAATGAACTGTGATACATATGTTTTTTTGCCTGAATATTTTTTACGCACATGATCAATGGTGAGAGGCAAAGTGCTGAATTCAAGAGCCTGCGGTTGATTCAGCCACGACCGGATGAGTTTCTGGGACAAAGGGTCAATTCCAAGACCGGCACCGGTGGCACTACTGATGGGGGCTGAAGGTGTTTTCTCGAGCACCACCACATCCCACCCAGCAGCGATAAGAGCGTGTGCGCAGGATATCCCGGCTATGCTGCCTCCCACCACCACTGCCTTGGCCTTCCTCTTTGCTTCATCCATCTCACTCTGTCACTGTGTGCGCGTGCGCGTCTTCCAGAGAGAGAGAGAGAGAGAGAATCTTGATTCTGAGAAAATGGTGGGTGGGGTGACAACAAAAATTATCATATGAAGGTATCAAGACTTTACGAGTCACGACAGGAATATCATGCTAATACTTACGTGTTAAAGTTTGTCCCATGTCAATTATAATAATATATGAGAAGATTTAACTTTAAAGGACCCAATTAGAATGAGAAAATGAAAGTTAATTTTTATGAAAATTATTTTATAAATGTACATGCACTTAGCTGTAATTATATCTTTAAACGACCAGATTGAACAGCACTAGTTACAATTTGTACATCCTATTACACATGTACAGAAGCTTAATATCTGTGGGAGTAATTCAATGCTCCAATCGTGTAGCACAATTAATTGATTTAGCTCCACCGTCTCCGAGCTGGTGATCCATTCAGTAAGCCACACCACCAGAAAAACTATCTCCGTCGTGAAGGAGAGATTCTGTAAGCCAATAACCATCCCAAGAACCCCCAACTCTCTGAAAATCAGAAGCCACTAGTGAATTACATTATCAAGAAGTGCAAAGAACAGGGATTTGTACCTTCCATATAAGAAAAGATATTTGCAGAGACAACTAAGAAAAATGGAGAAGGAAAACGTGAAATATATGAAATGCAAATAAAAACAATTAGACCATGACCCATAAGATAGGTCCATTTTTTCCAACTGAACGTGTGCAGATTCCACAACACCACCACAATTTATTTGAGCAGGTTTCAGCCAAAGAAGGAAAAAAAAAAAAAAATCCACAAAATAAATTTCACCGAGGATTTTGATAATAATGAGATGAAGATGATTCCCTCAATCTCAAATCCCAGTCCCCTTCTCATATCCAAGTCAAATCATGTAATTCCAAACAGCCATTTGAAAATTTTGCCAGTTCTTGATGTCAGATTGGTACCTTGGTTTAATTTGTATTAATCAAGAAACAACCGAACACAGCTCCTTCATCCTCCCGCATCAGCAAGACAGCAATAAAAAATAGCTATTGGCTCATAGACACTATGGAATAGAATAATATTTGCTGTCACAATATTTTGGTCAAGAGACGCTCACTGGGAATTGCAAGGTTTGGAATTATTAGACCAAAAGTTCAGGAAAGTGATCTCAGAATTGTATCTTAAATATCTTTGGCACAAGGATCTGAAGATCTAAATGTCAGTTATCAAAAGCAACACACACCTGAACCATTGTAAATTGAAATATTTCTTCTTCCTCAGGTCGAGCTCCCCGTATCCAAACTCGCTGCTTATAGCTATTCTGTTTCACGTATACTTACCTTCAGGAGATAGATATTGTAATTCGTTGTATGGACAAATATAAAACTCCATTACCTCCTTCACAAGTAAACTGCTTAAGATCTTTCTTTCCCGGTGACCTAGCAAAACTCTGTAACTTGAATGGTGGAAGATCCGCCTAAACCGTTCGAACTGCACAAATTACAAGACAATATAGTAGGAACAATGCATTGATTTGGTACTTTGATGATTGAGCAAATTTGAAATGCTTCAGATAGTACTTCACTTTTCCCATATACTACATGGTACCTTTCTGGGTGGTGGCAACCAAAATCATGAAGAAGAATTGTAAAAACAGCCAACGTAAATTTATAAAAATTAAATACTTACTGACCTGCCCTAAATCAAAGAAGGGCCCAAAATAGGTAGATCTTTCAAAAGGATCGAATCCAGCAAACTGATGGAACATAACATCAGTGTGATCATGATAGCAACAGGTGAAAAATATCATATCAAAGTCAATAAATACAAAGCAACAGTTTGGAGATTATAAAGTACCCTATACATGACTTCAATCCCATAATCTGGCCGAGGTTGGTCATTGAACATCAATGCATCAAGCTGGTATCGCACAGCTTCCTCTGCACTAAACTATTACAACATAGATTTTAATCAACATGGTACAAGAGAAAGATGGCAGCATGTGTTGGATGAGTTCTATAGTTAGAAAATTACACTTAATCTCGGACCAGAAGGTCTTTTCCTGCGAGACTCAAGCCTACAAATATAAATTGAAATAAATCAGAGAAATATATGTTGATCTTGCAAAACTTATGGGATGTCAAGAGAATTTAATGCAGACCAAATTTGCAGAACTATCAATCTAAGCCAAGACGTAGCTACAAAACTAGTTCAAGATATTCATGAAAGAAGACAACAATCATTATAAAGTCCAATGGATCGAAAGTCTCGAGGATCAATCCCCTCTCCTACGACTTAGCACTTCCCAAGAACAGAGCCAAAAAAAAAAAAAAAAAAAAAAAAAAAAATCCACAAAATAAATTTCACCGAGGATTTTGATAATAATGAGATGAAGATGATTCCCTCAATCTCAAATCCCAGTCCCCTTCTTATATCCAAGTCAAATCATGTAATTACAAACAGCCATTTGAAAAATTTGCCAGTTCTTGACGTCAGATTGGTACCTTGGTTTAATTTGTATTAATCAAGAAACAACCGAACACAGCTCCTTCATCCTCCCGCATCAGCAAGACAGCAATAAAAAATAGCTATTGGCTCATAGACACTATGGAATAAAATAACATTTGCTGTCACAATATTTTGGTCAAGAGACGCTCACTGGGAATTGCAAGGTTTGGAAATATTTGACCAAAAGTTCAGGAAAGTGATCTCAGAATTGTATCTTAAATATCTTTGGCACAAGGATCTGAAGATCTAAATGTCAGTTATCAAAAGCCACACACACCTGAACCATTGTAAATTGAAATATTTCTTCTTCCTCAGGTCGAGCTCCCCGTATCCAAACTCGCTGCTTATAGCTATTCTGTTTCACGTATACTTACCTTCAGGAGATAGATATTGTAATTCGTTGTATGGACAAATATAAAACTCCATTACCTCCTTCACAAGTAAACTGCTTAAGATCTTTCTTTCCCGGTGACCTAGCAAAACTCTGTAACTTGAATGGTGGAAGATCCGCCTAAACCGTTCGAACTGCACAAATTACAAGACAATATAGTAGGAACAATGCATTGATTTGGTACTTTGATGATTGAGCAAATTTGAAATGCTTCAGCTAGTACTTCACTTTTCCCATATACTACATAGTACCTTTCTGGGTGGTGGCAACCAAAATCATGAAGAAGAATTGTAAAAACAGCCAACGTAAATTTATAAAAATTAAATACTTACTGACCTGCCCTAAATCAAAGAAGGGCCCAAAATAGGTAGATCTTTCAAAAGGATCGAATCCAGCAAACTGATGGAACATAACATCAGTGTGATCATGATAGCAACAGGTGAAAAATATCATATCAAAGTCAATAAATACAAAGCAACAGTTTGGAGATTATAAAGTACCCTATACATGACTTCAATCCCATAATCTGGCCGAGGTTGGTCATTGAACATCAATGCATCAAGCTGGTATCGCACAGCTTCCTCTGCACTAAACTATTACAACATAGATTTTAATCAACATGGTACAAGAGAAAGATGGCAGCATGTGTTGGATGAGTTCTATAGTTAGAAAATTACACTTAATCTCGGACCAGAAGGTCTTTTCCTGCGAGACTCAAGCCTACAAATATAAATTGAAATAAATCAGAGAAATATATGTTGATCTTGCAAAACTTATGGGATGTCAAGAGAATTTAATGCAGACCAAATTTGCAGAACTATCAATCTAAGCCAAGACGTAGCTACAAAACTAGTTCAAGATATTCATGAAAGAAGACAACAATCATTATAAAGTCCAATGGATCGAAAGTCTCGAGGATCAATCCCCTCTCCTACGACTTAGCACTTCCCAAGAACAGAGCACCCAAGGAAAGTTGCTATTTTTGTTCTAAAGTTTGAGGCACGCTGAAACCGAAGACCATGATTTTCAATGTGTTTATGATTTATGGAGCAATTAAAGTAAGAAAACAGGTTTCGTTACAGTAAGGATACAAAATCACTATTTACACAACCCCCATGAAATAATTCAGGCAAACCCCTAACAGCACACCTGCTATTATCTTTCTTTATATTATAATTAGCCAATTATTCGCAAAAACTCACACACTCGAACATAAAAAATCATAGAGATATTGATTACACGGGATATCTACATGGATCAGGCATAAATAACATTCGGATAAACACCAAATTTCGCACTGCATATCAGTAACAGTGGTAAAAAAGGAATTTCCAAAAAAATTACAAAATCATACCCAAAAAAAATATATATATATAAAAATAGAGCTTCATATATATACAAAGAAATAAATAGAGAGATACAAAGAAAGAAGACTACCAATCCGGAGATAGAAAGTCAGGAACGTCGGACGCGGAAGCTCGAATTCGATGGCATAGAGGTTTGAAAGATGGGGAGAGTAGAGATGCACCAAACGACATCGTTTCGCGGTACAATTTGTTTCTCGTTTCGACCTTTGTGGAAGACGTAATGAAGAAAAATGTCGTGTTTGCAGCTATTGAAGTCGCAAATTGAACCGTTTTGGCTCAAAATAAAATTACACATTATTTTGATCAACAAAGGATTGTTTAATAGAATTTATTTGAGAATAATCAGTTATTAAATAATATTTTTTGAAGAATGTATAGTTAAATTATAATATTCTATTAGCTCAACTCAATGATTTGTAAGCCAAAAAAGAGACAATTTCAAAAGACAACAAGTATCTAACGTATTAACAGGCAAATATCTTTCAGCCAACAAAAAGTTCGTAAACCAATTAAATAAGTACATTCATTTGCATTTCACTCTTCGCTCATGTTTCACTCTCTCTCTCTCTCTCACACACACACAGAGGTTGAATGCATGCATATTTGTAAAGCCCCAGTTTGGTTTAGATTAAAATCGAATTAAAAATATCAAGTCAAAGTAAACAATTAATTTTAAACACATATTTTACGCAATCCACAATTTTTTTACCACATTTCATAAATTTTTTTAAATATCAAAATTTATTGAAAATTTGATTATAATCTATATCAAACAAGGGCTAAGTTGGATGAGTTCTATAGTTAGAAAATTACACTTAATCTCGGACCAGAAGGTCTTTTCCTGCGAGACTCAAGCCTACAAATATACATTGAAATAAATCAGAGAAATATATGTTGATCTTGCAAAACTTATGGGATGCCAAGAGAATTTAATGCAGACCAAATTTGCAGAACTATCAATCTAAGCCAAGACGTAGCTACAAAACTAGTTCAAGATATTCATGAAAGAAGACAACAATCATTATAAAGTCCTATGGATCGAAAGTCTCGAGGATCAATCCCCTCTCCTACGACTTAGCACTTCCCAAGAACAGACCACCCAAGGAAAGTTGCTATTTTTGTTCTAAAGTTTGAGGCACGCTGAAACCGAAGACCATGATTTTCAATGTGTTTATGATTTATGGAGCAATTAAAGTAAGAAAACAGGTTTCGTTACAGTAAGGATACAAAATCACTATTTACACAACCCCCATGAAATAATTCAGGCAAACCCCTAACAGCACACCTGCTATTATCTTTCTTTATATTATAATTAGCCAATTATTCGCAAAAACTCACACACTCGAACATAAAAAATCATAGAGATATTGATTACACGGGATATCTACATGGATCGGGCATAAATAACATTCGGATCAACACCAAATTTCGCACTGCATATCAGTAACAGTGGTGAAAAAGGAATTTCCAAAAAAAAAAAAAGCAAAATTATACCCCCAAAAAAATAAAATAAAATAGAGCTTCATATATATACAAAGAAATAAATAGAGAGATACAAACAGAGAAGACTACCAATCCGGAGATAGAAAGTCAGGAACGTCGGACGCGGAAGCTCGAATTCGATGGCATAGAGGTTTGAAAGATGGGGAGAGTAGAGATGCACCAAACGACATCGTTTCCTCTGCCACGCGGTACAATTTGTTTCTCGTTTCGACCTTTGTGGAAGACGTAATGAAGAAAAATGTCGTGTTTGCAGCTATTGAAGTCGCAAATTGAACCGTTTTTTGGCTCAAAATAAAATTACACATTATTTTGATCAACTAAGGATTGTTTAATAGAATTTATTTGAGAATAATGAGTTATTAAATAATATTTTTTGGAGAATGTATAATTAAATTATAATAAATTTTATTAGTTTATATGTAGAATATTTTACTATGTGAATATGTGGTGGAGAATGATCATATAACAAATACTTTAAATTTTTAAAAGATGACAAAGAGGGATTAAAAGTCTTTTGAAATTAAATCGTTCAAATATTCTTTCGATGTGAATTTATTAAATATTTGGGATGCGGGTGCTAAGATTTAAAGATTCGGAACGTGATGATACCATTTTGAAAGTTTGAAAAATGTTGCATATTTTCGAGTCGACTTACACATTTACATTTCTAATTATAATCAATTGAATCAACTTAACTATCCGTTATTCAAAATTAGTATTCTATTAGCTCAACTCAATGATTTGTAAGCCAAAAAAGAGACAATTTCAAAAGACAAGTATCTAACGTATTAACAAGCAAATATCTTTCAGCCAACAAAAAGTTCGTAAACCAATTAAATAAGTACATTCATTTGCATTTCACTCTTAGGTCATCTCTCTCTCTCTCTCTCTCTCTCTCTCTCTCACACACACACAGGTTGAATGCATGCATATTTGTAAAGCCCCAGTTTGGTTTAGATTAAAATCGAATTAAAAATATCAAGTCAAAGTAAACAATTAATTTTAAACACACATTTTACGCAATCCACAATTTTTTTACCACATTTCATAAATTTTTTTAAATATCAAAATTTATTGAAAATTTGATTATAATCTATATCAAACAAGGGCTAGGAACGTTTTACGAACCTTTTACTTGGTTTCCTTGTCAAGTCAATATGCTCTTCCACTATGGCAACTGTCTTGAGCGTATGATG